TAAATCAATTTATAATAAAAATAATAAAATATGAAATCAAAGTTATGAAAATGATGATGCATTTCAAAATAAAGAATAAATTTAAGAAAAACAAAATTTAATTTGAAAATGTTGATTTTCTTAATTTTCTATTATTGATAAATTCTTACCACTTCTAATCTAATCTCCAAGGGTACTCAAAAAATGATTGCCAAAAGCCTCTCCAAAAGCTCCCTAAATTGTGATCTTGAACGGATTTTTATTTTATTTTTCTTTTGTATATTAAAGAATTAATTATTTAGTATCACAAAAATTTAAATTTTTAATCTTAACCTAAGATTAAAATTTTTAAATTAATAAATATCAATTTAACTAAAATCTTGTTAGTTTAAATGGATATTTATAGAATTTAAGAAATTCTATATATATAAAAAAAAAAGTATGTGTCAAAATTAAAGCTCTTAAAAGCTGAAAGAATGTTTAGTGTTGATGTCAAATTATAAGTATTGGCACTTTTGTTTATTTCACGCACAACCTGCTTTTAGAGAAAAAAGACTTAATTCATGGTGCCGACCATTCAAAATAAGTATCGACGCCATACCCGTGTCGGGTTTCTTACTCTTTTTGCAATTTCTTCATTGGTAAAACAGCAGAACTAGTCCTCTAGATTTCATATGATAGTACTTTAGTCCGGTAACTTTAGCTTCATTTATTTAGGTTCTTAAGAGGAGCCTTTCTTCTTGCAATACAATCCCTCAACTTTTATAAGATATTCAATTAAATCCAGAAACTCCTAGTGTTATGCATTATTTTTTTTTTTGCATAAAGAATGAAAATTATGTAAAAACTATTGAAAATCACATCTTATCCATTCAAATGGCAATAAAATCAAGGCTAAAATATGAGATTAAAGCATATAAAATGCATCCTATCAATTGTAATGATATTTTGACATAATTAATAAAAACTTTAATTTAGGATTAAAGTAAGAAATTCAAAATTTTGCATTATCAAGCATTAACCCTCTAATGTACCAAAAAATTAAGTATTTTAGTTTGAGATTTAAAAATTTACTCACATATTATTAATTATCTCTATAACAAATATTCAACGGAATTTCCATGCTCTTGAGAGGTAGGAGCAAAATCCATTAAAGTACACACAACAAAGAAAATAACTAACATATGAAATGGATTTATATATATATATATATGGGAAAATAGCCTAGCAATCCTACCTTTCCTAAAATAATTGAAGTTCTAATTTTAGAAATATTATTTTTAATAAATATTTTTAAAAATCAACTATTAAATTTAATATTTTATTAATATAAATCATATATATCAATTTTAAGTTGGTCTAATATTTATAATCATTTAATAAAAAAATTATATTTTCTAATATATATTTGTTGGGGTGTGTTAGTGATGTAGGATGATGAGTCAGCAGTGAAGATGGTGTGGAGGCTAACTTGGATGTCACCTGTAAAAAAATAAGGGGGGTTCTTTTAGTAGCACCTGTTTCACATGCTAGAAGCTATGTGCCATGGGTTATCTCGTTTTACCCAAATATGATGGTCAACAACAAATTCTCCATCAAAGTCAACAACAAGATTTTTTAGCAAGCCCCAAAACCCAAATTTGAGGCGCGACAAACGCCGTATACTCGTGAGACGGGTCCCACAAGTACACAAGGCTCGGAACTTATCATATCACACTCTGATACCACCAAAATCTGAAGATCAAATTATAAAATTCTCTCTGATATCATAAAATCTCCAAATACACTCTAGCTTACATGATCATGATCTATCTAAAATTTATATCAATGTCGAAATGGCTAGCTTTCTAACTCGTCACTTCCCGTGATTTCCCCGTCCTCGGTTTCTTTTCCTGAAATGGTGGACAAGGAAAAACTATGAGATAAACTCAGTAAGTAAATATGGAGTGCCCTTAATTAAACGTATAGCATGCCAACAAGTGCAATCACGAAAACGGATACAGTACGGGAACGAAATAGACGTCTCCTCTATAGGTCACGGCCAGTGTTATAAACCTCCCACTGGCAGGCACACGATTACTAGTGTATAATCCCCACTAGCAGGGCCACTGAACGAACTGGCTCTTTCACTAACATGTCGACATGTGCTAGCGTTTATAACCTCCCCCACTAGCAGGGTCACTAATAACATGACCACATCGGAGACAAAATAGGCAAAAGTTAACAGAAAAATCATAATTCACAATCACTTTCAGAGCATCAGGACAGTCAATTAAATTTCAAGTAGGCATGCTCAATTTAATGAAAAGCATAAAACATTTCACTTCAAATCAGTCATACTTGTGTAAAACGGGTTTAGTCCCACCACCACTTCAAAAACAAATCAAAACATGCTTTTAAAACAGTACGGGCATTACCATAAATTTACTTACCTCAAATCGCATAAAACCAAGCACTCAATTCACGTACCAACTGACAGAACGATCGGAAACCTAATCAAAATATTCCAACAATTCATTACCGTATTATCACGAATTCAACTGAAATCATCATTACGATCACTCTTAATCACGATGCTATTTCTATCAGTCTTCACATTATCAAATATCTCCAAATTCGTTCTTATATCACAAACTAATCATTTAAATCCCCGTTAATTGTTGGCCCTCAGGGTGTGAACAGTGTCGGTGAACAGTACCCGTGAACAGTACCCCGACGTGAACAGTAACTCCACTTCCACAAATTGGCCAAAACACTAGCTAATCTCACGGGATTTTCTCCAAAAATCACAACAACCAACTAACACTCAATCACATAAATCCCACTTCAATTAAGCTAAATCATGGTCCTAAAGCTACCGGAGTGCCCCCATTTTTCTAGCAAAATTCGGACATCACACGGCAGCAAATTAATCAAGCTAATTCTACCTTAATCAAGCTTAAAAACAATGGTTTGAGGCTGCCACATACCAGAATCCAGCAAGCAAGACCGGAGCTGCAATTTGGGGAAGAGCCGGCGGCATGGAAGGAAAATTCTGCAGGGGACTCACGGTTTAACCCAAAATTAAAGGAGCCCAACTTAAATCAAAGCTAAAGAAGGGAGAATCCGAGCTATTTCTTACCAAAAAACCGAACAAATCACACCCACAAAGCAGGACAGCCGGACGGTGAGGAGCAGAGCAAGGCAGATCCGGATTCTGCAGAGGGGTGGGGGAAATTTCTGGGTTCTAGATGTGTTCTAGAGCAAGAAAAGAAGGAGAAAACCAAGCTTATCTCACCGGTTTCTCAAAGGCTGGCTGGGTTTCTTTTTTTTTTTCTTTGGGTGGCTGCAGCGGGAAGAAATGAGAAGAAAAGCAGAATCGGGCTGGAGAAGAAGAAAGAAAGAAAGAAAAAGGAGAAAAAGAAAAGAAGTCATCCTTATCCAAAATCTTTCCCTCTTTAAGTCCCTCAACTTTCAAAATTTTGGCTATCAAGCCCAAAACAATATTTTCTCACACAAAAACCCTTACTTAAATGCTAAAATAGCACAAAATTTTGGGGTATTACAAAGAAGGACAAAAAATACATGAGAATCAAGGATTACAATTTGAGAATCACATTTACACATAAAGTATTGCGACATAATAAAAATGATAATAAATGTGACCTCTACCATCTCTAATAAATATCTTCAGTCGATAACGAGCAACCCTCAAATTGTAAATAGAAAATACAACAATCCCTCTTGAAGCTCTTTCAAAGAACAAAAGAAATAGACTTAAAAGTGGTGATGGGAGAAAGTAGGATGACCACTTGGGAGGCCTGTGAGTGGAGTGCTTGATCTCGTTTCTGATGCTAACCTTGTAACTTGATTCTTTGATGCTCAAGAAAAATCACCTAGAAGCTAAAACTACAGTATGCTATCTCTTAACAATGATACTCTGCAGATCTGGAAATTGTTTTGCAATGTTGGAAGTGCAAAAAATATGAAGAGGATGGTAGTTCCTAGATGGTTAAGGTGTGTAGGGTGAGAGGTTAAAGACGAAGGGTTTTTCAAAGGAAAAATGGAGGTTTTGTGCGTGAGAAAAGAGAGTTAGATCCGTGAAGACTGTCCTCCTTGTGTTGAAAAATGAAGGGAAAATAATATATACATGTGCAATGACATTTTTGTGATTTTTGGGTTGTTGGGCCAGAGGTGTACAATGGTTATTAGGTAGATTTGGGTGAGCTGTCAATTTTTAAGTGGCTCTGGGCACTTCTGACAGCTTTCTAACAGTAATATTATGAATTACCTAGTGGTTTCAGCGAAACTTCGCTAGTTCTAGTAATGGATTGAAAATTGCCTATTTTTGGTAATTCCTTCAACCATATGAAATTGCATTTTTGGGAGGATACTTGAGTGTAGCCAGCAAACATAAAATTTGCCCAGGATTTTGGAAAATTCCCCAAGCAAAATGTAATATTTTTCAATAGTTCTCAATACAGTGTAATTTGTGCAACAACCTTTACATTAAATGCAACTACAACTTGCCGATGAAAACTAAAACAACATCTCTTGTTAGTTTTTAACAGGATTTTGAGCTTTTGGTTAGTATCAGATGGTACGGTTCTAGGGATCAGTTTCACTTCCACATCTTCGCCACCCAACCCTCTTTGGTGAAGTTGGGCAACATCACCAGCATCAAGCTTTGTTAGCGTGAATACCTTGCTTTGCCAGATGGGCAGCATTCACCCATGTGTGCTTGCTATTCCACCACTCCTATAGTTTATCTCGATTAATTCCCATGAGCTTAGGTTCATGTGCTTGTGTTTATCTGCAATAGAAGCAAAATACAAATATGTATATATTTAAGTATTTAAGTGTAAAATGTATGGATATGCGTAGCGAAGAAAGGCACTCCTTTGCGTAATAAAATGGGTCGATGTGGATGAATGCTCATTGTGCCTTTTTGTCTGGTGGCCATGATGAATGCCTGTATATTGTTGCTGTATATGGTTGGCATGGTGCCAAGACAAAGAATAAGTGATATGGATATGTGTTGTGATATCGTTGTCCCGAGCTAAATATCGCTGGTTGGCAATACCTACCAATACATGAATCATAGAAGATATATGTTATTAGTCAAGATTACTAACGATCGGTAATTTTGTCCTTTTGTGTGAGAAAATAATGATGTTCATGGCCGCTAGCCATGTAAATATTGCAAGGTTAGCCATGAATAGCTAACCTATAACAAGAAGGATAATAGTGGCTAGCTTTGCCCATGGTTGGAATGTGAACTATGTGGAATTGGAAGAGCACTCTTACTAATCTGTCAAGTCGCGAAGGGGTAAATCTCACTAAGTCAGACTCCGCTATAGTGATGACTGTTTGATAGAGAGAGGTGGAATTGTCTCCATGAAAGGGAGACACCGGTCGCATCCATGGCCTCTGATACAATAAGATGTGATACCACTGACAAACGCTGGCCTTTCTTATTGTACCCGCACCGTCAGAGGGTGGTCCTGGCTGTTGTTGACTGTCGAGCATTGCACCACCATGCACGAGCGACCACCAAGGGACCGTTGGCCACTACTTGATGGACTTTTATCGTTGGAGGGTAGCCACCCCATTCAATTGTAAGGGTGCAACTGTTACCTGCCTCACGCTAATCATATCGAGTTATGTTGACTCTTTATCCATTCTCGGGAGCTAGTGAGATAAAATATGTAGAGATTGGATCCTTTATCCGTTGTTGGGAGTCGGTATAATGAAGATATGTAGAAATGTGTAGCATTTTGTCCATTGTTGGAGATTAGACGAGATAGCAAATCTGGCCCTTTATTCATCATTGGGAGCCAAAATATGTAATGGTGAACATCGTTGTAGAGAACATGACCGTAAAAAACGTCCAGCTATGTTATGCAAATAAAGGTGGCCATGTTTGGCCGTGTTATAGAATGGGTTGTGTCTACAATGTTTCTAGCGAAGTGGTTGAATGCCACTCCTGGCGATGCTGACTCTTTTGCAACAATTAATAGAAAATAAAAACAACATGTCTGATTTGGAAAATGGATCATGTGGGCCATTGTTGATGTGGCACTACACATATTGTCAACTTCGAAGCAATACAAATTCATCCCTCAACAATATTAACAATGATAAATTTTTTATAATCAATGAATTAGTTATATATATATATTTAATCAATCTAAAAATTGATATGCATGATATATATAAATCTAATAGTTGATTTTTAAAAATATTCATTAGATGGTTGTGGTTTTAAAATTAGAACTTCAAATTTTTTAAGGATTTTTCTATCAAGTGCACGTAGGTAAAGGTACAATAAATACACATTGTTATAATTAATTTTTATTGAAAGTATAAATGTTGACTTTGATTTAATTAATTAATTAATTAATTAATTAAAATAATTCACGTGTTACTAATATTAAAATGTATGTCCACTTTTACAATTTTTATTGTGAATTAATTATAAAAAGATGTATTTATTGCATTCTTAATTTATGTTTTTAAAGTATATATTGATATTAGACAAATTCTTTTTTTAAAATCGAAACTGATATATATTATTTC